GATCAATCCATTTTGAAACAGCAATAAGCTTTGCATCTGGGATTATGCAAGGGTAATGTGAAAAAACCCCTACGAAGCAGAAAGGGTGGGACCTCCAGGGGACAGATACCTTCCAGTGATCCTCCGGATTAGCAGGGAGTCTGGGATGCAGAATTCAATCACAGAATCAAGTTTCTCTTTCCTCTTCTTCATCAGGCCATCAAGCTGTAAAGAAGTATGTGATCCATCTAAGGCACCAGAGCTTGCATACATGCAACGGTGATACAAATACTAAAGTACTCACCATTTCTGCCTGCCTCACGGTCCGAGGGAAGCCATCTAGAAGGAAGCCATTTCTGCAGGAAGGGGTCTCCAAGTTCTTCTCAATGAGCTCCACTACCATTTCATCACTCACCTGGAAGTTAAGAACAAAACAAACTGTATTGGAAACTGCTGACTAGGGCACGTTAGCCCAACTCCAAGGCCAAAGGTTTGGGTGTGTACAGCTTGATCGCTAAATGGCAAGTCTTTCAGATCCCGAAGAAGCATATATGAACAAGTACAGAGTGGCTCCATTTGCAAGGCCCAGTTTCGTAACTTACTGTATGGTAGCTGTCATGTACCTATTCTCTTTCCTCAAAATTCTGGGTTCTAATAACCTGGTGAGAGAAGGAGTATTCCACAGCTTGTCACTTCACCATGTTTGTTTATTTATTTATTTATTTATTTATTTTTACACATTTATTTATGAGTGTGTGTGTGTGTGTGGCCAGCTCAGCCCACCAGGGGGCGCAGCTGGCTGGCATGTGGTGCTGGGGGATTGAACCGCAGTCCCTCTGCTTTGCCAAGCTTGTTCCAAGTAGGCGCTTTAGACCACTGAGCCATCTCACCAGCCCTCCACCATGTTTTTAGGTCCTAAAGACCCCTGTTCTCACTACAGCCAGAGTCTTCAGTATCAGATAACAGCTTATCAGCAATCAGCTGCCTTTAAGGCAAAAGAAAGATGAGGGTACAGGGCTGAGAGGTCATCTGGGGAAAACTAAGAGAACAGGGGTTGACCAGGATGCAGGTAAGCACAGACTATTTGTACCTGGTTATGCATCTGGGCCATTCTGGACATGAAGAAACAGAGACACTAACTGAACTGGCAAGAGTGGGTCAGAAACCAGGAACCATGGAACCAACCAAATACACTGCTGAGACTCTTGAAAAGTCCAGTGTTAGCCTGGCATAGTGGCTCATACCTGTAATTACAGCACCTGGGAGGCAGGAGGACTGCAGTGAGTTGGAGGTCAGCCTGAACTACAAAGTGAAACCCTGTCTAAAGTAAAGCCCAGTGAGGCACTCTCCCAGCATTTAAGGTGACTTCCCAGGGGCTGGGTAGAAGGGTCGGTAGAATAAGCGCTTCCCTGGCAAGCACAAGGGCCTGAGTTCAATCCATGGTTCCACCAAAAAATAAAAAAAAAGACTTCCCTCCCTAAATGATAGTTACAGCTGCCCATCTTGGCAGCTAATGTGTTTATCTTTCAGGACCAGCTATGAACCTGGGGCAACATAGCAGCTTTGAGACTGAGGGCTGGAGGTAAGCAGTATTGTCATATCCCATTTTTTTCTCCCAAGACCCAAAGCCCAAAATATGTCATTTTTTTATTTTTCCCCATAATTTTATTGATAAACAAATAGCAATGAGACACTTTCAAATCAAATTGGTAGGACAGTTTCAATAATTACCACATTGCATAGATTCTTCCTAGTGGTTAAATGCTGTAT